AACCATTATAGAAACATGAAAATAATTTTTGGTAGTTACCAATACTGTTAATTTTGGGCATCTGTGACATAAACCTTACACCAGGTATTGTTCTAATAAATAAGCATTATGGGGTTTTTTTTCATAACTGCTGTTGTACATAAGCAAGCATAATGTGTTTAAGTGACTGGGCAAGGGTAGAAACATTTTAAATGTCCAGTGTCTCCATGGTGTACTGGTTAACATGTTATTCTTACTCATGAAAGAGCCCCAGTTTGAAACCAGAGGAAGACACAAACAGAGGGTCAAAAGCTAGTGCACTGCCTGTGCTGTTCCCAAGCATGGGTAAATGGGAGGTTTACATCAGGAAGGGCATCCGTTGTAAAATCTGTGCCAAATCAAACATGTGGATCGATCCACTGTGGTGACCCCTTGGGGACAATAAGAGAGCAGTTGAACGTAGCTTTAAAAGGACTGAAAATGAGACTGAAATGAATTTAAAAACCAAACTGAAACGAACAAATCCAATCTGGAAACGTACCGTGGATAAAATTAGTTGAAAACAAAGAGTCAAAGCGAAATAAAATAAAATCTAATTAGAAAATACAAAACTATAATAACCGACAATTGATTTCGGATACCTGTGGGAAGTCTTTTTTAGAACCTGTAATATAATGTTCGTGAGGGGCCGACACTGTTGCTGACAGTTATTCTTGTGTGTGTGGTTCATTGTGTGTTAAAAGCCATGTGATGTGTCCCGGCAGTGTACATGCAGTGCCAGCCAACCGAAACAAATAAAATGCTGGGACTTCTTTCCCTCCTGGGTCTCTGCTCTTTGTTGTGGTCAGGTTTTTTAGGGGGGGATAAACATTTTTGTCCCTGTAGTTTTCCCCCTTCTTTGTGCATTCCCTCACATCCATCCCAATGGTTTCAGTAATCTCCCTCCAGGAGAGCATGCTTATGTTGATGCTTATGTTGGTGATTATTATTCCTTATACTAATGCTATGAATATTATTCTCTCACTGATACATTTAAAAACAGTGGTGAAAAAGTAGCTGGATACGCAGAGGATTATTTGACTGTATTGAACAGACATGTGTAGTTCAATTTCTAGGGTGCAGATCAGGTTAATGCCTTAGATTTACCACTGAATAAATCCCCAATTCAACGCAAAGTCTAAATCAACCTTTAGTTGTGCGTACATTTTTATGGGTTAATGATTAACTACTGACTATAAATTGGATCTGTAAAATCATAAGCTGTGTAATTGTTTTAGTTAGACTGATCAAACAAAGTAGATTAGAATGAGCGCTGGGTCTGTCTCGTCCCAACTTCCAGTGACTTAGAGCTGAAAATCAGAGGGTATAAATGGAGAATATTTTGACATTTTATTATTAAACAGTCAATGATGAATTGATAACGTGTAACTGCGCTACATTAAAGCATGAATAATTTCAGGTTTAGGAGAACACTTCATGTAGAAAGTCTGAGAAGATTTCTGCTGTCGTGTGTTTACGCGGACTGTTTTATCTGTTTTCAGATGCGTGATCTGTATGCTGGACTTTGTTTATGGGGACCCCATCCGGTTCTTGCCATGTATGCACATCTACCATATGGACTGTATAGATGATTGGCTTATGAGATCCTTCACCTGCCCCTCCTGCATGGAGCCTGTGGATGCTGCCCTGCTCTCCACCTATGAGACCAACTGAATTTTCCATCCCTTCTTCAACTGAATCGATATATCAAACACGACCCCCTCCAGCTCCCAAAACCCAGCAGCTGCCCTCTTATAGAGTGAGAGGAGCTGAAAGAAAAAAAATGAAAGTGTTGGCTTTTGTCTTGCACTTTAAAAGTTTCCCACTCACCTAACGTTGGCCTTTCATACCCCTGGTCTGATTCCAGATTGAGCTGGTCTTAAACATCTGTTACACAAGTCGGTAAAAGACAGGTGTCCCCAGCGACCCTGCATGGTTGTGTTTCTGTCATGCCTAGGCACTCTCCAGCTTTGCCGCTAACAGCGAGCATGTGGCATTTGTGTCTAAAAGAGCTGTTTGGTGACTGCGTTTCCACTCGAGCGGGTCTCAGTGGCGTTCTCCCCATCGGCCAGCACCTTTATTGATCACTGATCACGACTTAAATGAATAATTTGGTAAACAAATTATTGATGAAAATGCTCGGATGATTTGCCAGATATGTGTTGGCAACAGTAAAGAAGACCTTTCAAACATATTGATCTGTTAAACACATTAAAGTAGCCCTGCCCTTTGGATATGTGGGAATACACTGCTGACATTTACACTGTTGGTGTAGAGAAGAAGCCAAACAGGATTACAAAAAGAAAACACTTTACAGAAGTCACCCAAAGTGTAAAAGTATACAGTGGTGTACTTTATTTATATCAAAACTACTTCATATGTGTCTTTAGCCGTTCCTCTAAAAATATATTTTGAATTCAAGGGAAAACAAAGTAGAGTTTTGTAATGTTTGACCAGACGATGTGTTGTAGCTGACGGCCAGTGTAAAGGGCTCATTTGTGCATGGGCAGGTGGATCAGTCAGTGGAAATTAGAAGCGCTTGCACACACTCTTCATCTGATCCCGAGATTTGCACTTTACTCCTAGGACATTATGTAAAACAGTATATTAATATATGTACATTATAACCTTGCACTATCAATACTTCATTCCTTTTATCTCCTGAGATGCAAAAGTTATATAGCTGATAAGGATGTTTTTAAAGCCGTCAGTAATCACTTATCACATTGAAGTAGTAATCCTAAACATGCATTTCATGAAATCTGTGATTCATGGTTTTGTGCAATTTCTTTGATCTTTTTTTCTTTGTGTGTGTGTAATTGAAGGGAGAGAGGCTTGCTCAGCTTTAAAGGAATGGTTTGACATTAAAGCTTCTTCAAATTCTTGTTCTCATAGCTCTATTAATGATTTCTGATTGGACTAATTTCCAGCTCCAAATGATTATTTGGGGGTTTTCTTTATAGAGTAACTTTGCAGGATTCTGATTGGCTGGCCCTTTAGAACAAAAGGTATTTACAGCACGTGTTTGTGGCTTGTGTGGTCGCAGCTGCAGCCGTGCACGTGACTGTATTAAAAAAATCTGCTCTCGCCGACTTCATACAGATCCAAGAGTAGAAAAAATGCTTGAAACCAAGCCTCTAGAGCAGACTGAGTCTGACTCGGGCGTAACACCCACATATTCTTCATTAAATGAAGCTTTTCTCCATAGTTAATATGAGCACCACCGATTTAAAAAGTGTGTTTGTGACAGAAAGTAAGAGATCAACAACATTTTAAATACAGAGGGAGAACGTTCTAACCTGGATCTCTCCGAAGTCCAAACCCACACCAGCATGTTCACCATCATCATTTGTTTCCATCTGAAGATGAACAAACAAGATTTAAGTTGTTTCATGATTTAATTTTATTGTGGTTTTTGTGCTCTGTAGACAGAGCCGGGTGAGCTGTTCCCACGCTTTATGCTAAGCTAATTGCATTCCCTAATCCAGCTTCATCCCTAACAGAGATAACCTTTGTCTCTAAGCAAATAATGTTGAACTGTTCCTTTAATAAAGAAGCATTGTGTGGCATAGCTGGTTAATTCTGAATCTACATGAATACAGTTTTAAATTCTACACAAATATTGATCACATTTCTTTTTTGTTTTGTTGCGCATTATTGTCTTTATTTCTGTAGTAGACGTTACATTTATTGCTTTACTTTTTACTTGTGCTGCTTTGGTGGTGGTGGTGTCGGTGTCTCTTTCACATTTTCTGTTATGTGTGTAAAACCCATCTTGTATTGAAGTATCCAGCTGTTTGGTACTGTCTGGTCGTGCAAACCTGTCCTGGCTGAATTTTCAGAGTGTGAGAGTTTTTCCTCTCATGGTGTGACAGTTAAACCTGAGATCATCTTTTTCACTGAGCTTTCCTTTGCTGTGTTTTCATGAATATTTCTTTATAATCTTCTTTTGTTTTGTTTTTTTGGATGGCTAAGGACCCTTTGTGTAAATAAAATAATAATAATAATTAAAAAATTGAAAAATGATATGCGGTTTTGGTTTATTACCACAGAAGCATCCATTGACTTACCCCGAAACTGCTCACATCAGCCAGTGAAGTGGGCTAAATAATGGGGCAGATTTGTGGCCCTGTGATTACCAAAGTAAGAGATTACAGAAAACACAAAAGCAAAAACACTCCTTTTGAGCTTTTTCATTAATGCAATCCTCAAATCTGGCAGTGGAGTGGAGAACGTGACTACATAATGAGCGCTGTGTGATTTGACTGATGTAGCAACTCAGGCAAAGCCACTTTGTTTCCTCCGCTTGCATCAGCTGCCGAGGAAAACATGAGCACGGTTGGTGCCCGTTTCAAGCGTTTCTATATGTGACGCTCAAATATCTGAAATTGGAATTACAATTGCAAAAACCACAAATTTAAATCCTTGTTTTAAGTACGATAAAATGTGGCATATAAAGGCTGCGCGTCCATTTCTTAAGCACCTTTTGAGACGAATACATTGCAACATGCGCTTTGTTTCCTCAGATATAAGAACCGACACAGTTAATCAGCTTTGCAGTGCTGCAAGATCTGCGTGCCTTTACTGTTTTTAGATTAAAACTCAAACAACTTTGACAAACACGAGGACAGACGTGGAAAGGTCCCCTATTCGTTTGCGACCATAATGAGATTTTTGTGTGGCAACATATTAAAATTGTACTAATGCCTCAAGAGTTTAGGCTGAAGGATTAGTTGAACTGCTCGTATATGCATCGCTTACTGAGAGAATGCTTGATTTACTCCTCCCTCATGAATAAAAAACAAAGTCTTTTTGTCTCAGTAGGCAGTCGTGGAGCTGGCAGGAATGCAGTGTTGCTCAAAAATTTGAAAGAAGCAACGCAATACAACAGAGAACTTAAACCTCAGATGAAAGGCAAAATACTTTGTCACTCTGTGAGTAGCAAATGAACATGGTGTAACAGATCAACACAAAATAAGAAGTGCATTGATAGTTACGCATTTATTTTTGCATCCATGACCCATTTATATGAAAAATCATGTGAACAGATCCTTTTTTTCTTTACCAGTACTGACAGTTCAAGCTTAGACATTTTAGTTGAGATTTATTATCATGGCTCAGAAGGCATCCAGCAGCCTACGCTGCCTGCAAAGGAGGACATGCAATCACTTTCTCAAAAACAGCTCGACACAATGATCAGTTTGTGCCATTGTTCTAATAATGAGTGGCAGCTGGTCACAGAGAAATATGCAGAGTCACGAATCATTAGGGTTTGTACATCCCATGAAAGGTGACGGGAATAGTGCACTCCACCTCTGCCCTGGCAACCTCAGAAAGATCCTTGGCGTTGAGGATGAGGAGGTACGCTGGTCTCTGGGCACCGGGAGCTGCAACAATGGTAAGCAGCACACCTGTGGGGACAGCAAACACCAGCCTTGCTTAAAAATTACTTCTTACAATACAAGTAATTGTTAAAACACACTGCATGGAACATTATACTTTAACTGCTGTAGACTTACCGTCATCCTCATCGACAGCATCAGGAGTCTGTACAAACAACGGCTCTGAGGGGTAGGAGTCGGGCTCCTGCCATACCCAGGTCTCCTTGGTCTTCACGTTCAACTTGCAGATCTACACAGAAATCAAAAGAAAAAAAATCAACCAAAAAAAAATATTTTTCTACACTCACAGTCTGAAATCTGCTGCTCTAGTCTCTTACCCTGTCTGGTATGAAGTGGTTGAGACCCAGGGCGTAGGCGTATGTGTAATTCTTGCCGCCATACCTCTTGTAGTTAATCTGAGGAAACTCAAAAGCTACAAAACCAAAGAATAACAAAAGATCACTCAGTAGCCATTCATCCCTTTTTGTCCACTTATCCTATTTAGGGTTGCGATTGAGGGTGGAGCTGTCATAGAGCAAGAGGAAGGCTACACCCTGAACAGATATGCTAACCTTCACACCTACAGTCAGTCACCAGTTAACCCTGTGTATGCTTTTTGGATGTTTGTACTCATAGTCCACACAGAAAGGCCCCACACTAGAATCAAACCCAGCACCTTCTTGCTGTGAGGCAACAGTGCAAACCAATGCACAACTCAATCATTCAGTAAAGTCTAAAAATATCTTCTTGAAAAATAGCTGCATTGTCACCTTGGTGAGGACTGGAGAACAGCACCTCAGGCTCAAGCCAAGTCGACCCATCAGCGTACATGGTGGCTGTAGCTGTGGTGTACGGCAGGCTCACCAGATTCTTCCCCTGCTCCTCCTACATCAAATCCAGATCATGGTCAGAACAACCAAACCTTGCATTTGTTTGTAGAAGATTTTATCAGTCTGATGAAAGAGAAAGGTGCTCACCTTGTGGACATCCAGGGGAATGACGTATCTGCGCACCTCCGGCTGGGGGGCGAGCATGGCTGCCTTCTTCACCTCGTCCCAGTTAGCCCTCAGGTTGGCCAACCAGAGGTAGTTGTAAACAAACTCAAAGCTGCAACACAAAAATGTTCATCAGCATTAATCTTGCTGGATCAAACAAATGCGGTAGGTCGAATGCTTCAGTTACCCTTTCCAAGCACAAAGGTCAACAACAATGAACCCCTGGTCCTCGAAGGCATTAATATGATGAAACATGCCAATAGGTGCTCCTTTAAACTTGAGATCGATGTACTCTCCTGGGTCTTTCTTGGCAATGTGGAACAGGGTCTACAAGAGAACATCAGAGCTTCAGATGAGATTATAGAAGGAGAGCAGCCAAAAACACCAGTGTGGGTTTTTTGTGGATATAAAGATATTCGTTCGGCTCCTTACTCCTTGGCTCTCATTGGATTCGAAGCAGTCCATGTAGTTGCAGCCACGGATACTCCAGGCACTCAGGAACTTCAGCAGGTTGATTTTCACAGGAGTCTCCACAAAGACAAAGTAGTTGTCTGTCTTGCCGAAACTGAAGTAGATAAAAACACAAAACAATAAAAACCCATCAACTAAATTCAGTTCAATTCAGTTCAGTTTTATTTACATAGCTCCAAATGACAACAACAGTTGCCGTAAGGTATTTTATATTGTAAGGTAGAGACCCTTCAATAATACAGAGAAAACAATCAGTAGACCCCCTGTGAGCAATCACTTGGGCGACATTGGGAAGGAAAAACATTTTTTAAGAGGAAGAAATCTCCGACAGAGCCAGGCTCAGGGAAGTGCACCCATCTCAGAGTGTGAGGCAGGACAAAAATAACACTGAATCACGCACACAGACTCACAGACATGTGGACACACCTGTGCACGTAGGAAGGCTTGAATCTCTGATAGCTGGGGAACTGCACCACCACCTTGGACTTGTCGATCGGATCAGATTTATCTACAAAAGAAAAAGTTGTGGTGTTTTAAAGGGATCACTCACTGTTTCGAAGTCTCTGCTTGGTCCAACACTTCATAAAATCTACAGTGGGGCAAAAAAGTATTTAGTCAGCCACCGATTGTGCAAGTTCCCCCACTTAAAATGATGACAGAGGTCAGTAATTTGCACCAGAGGTA